CCTGAAGGCCAAACAAGGAATAATGGATGGAAACTGAACAAGGAGAGATTCAACCTGAAAATAAGGACACATTTTCTGACAGCGAGACCAGCAATCAACAAGGTCCTTTCCAACTCTTAATCTGTTAAATTCAGTTTTTTGGGGGTGCACTAAACGATCGCGTAGGCTAAACTCACTTCATATGTAACTGGCTAGTTCAGTGTTATTTATGCAAACCCAGTCAACTTTTTGTACAGTATAAAAAAAGATTGACACATTCAAGCCATTTATCTTTTCAACAGCCCTGAAGATTCAGTTCTCAGATTTTTGACAGAAAAATCAAGGCCTAGACCACCCAAATTTCTAATTGAGAGAATTAGCCCCCATTTTTTTTTAAACATCCTGTCCACTTTTAAGGGTTGAATCTTTAATTCTAAACAAGACCCGTGCAAAGATCTTCAGACAGGAAATATAAAACCTAATTTATAGGTTTTGCCCTGTTGTTATTTTCCTTCCTTCCTTCCCTTTCAAGGAATTTTGTTCCTCTCCTCAGACTATCAAATTCCTTGCTCTTGGGATCTCTCCCCCCCCTTCCTCTGCCCTGACTTTAATGCTTTCCATAAGCTAAATAGATTTCTAAATAAGGATGAGTTTTTGCAAGGCCAATGGAAGCCTTGAGCATCAATTCCTTTTCGTGTCAAGAGTGGCATGAAGCAATATAAAATCATAAAGGCTGTATAAAAACAGTAGCCTTGAGAAGCAACTATCCGTGGAAAAAGAGAACCGCACTTCTCCATGCTCAGGAAATGCTCAAGGTTTGTAAATTAATGCCCAGCTCACCTGTTCGTAGAGCAGCGACCCACCCCAAACTTTTGGGTGCCAGGGACCGGTTCCGTGGAGAGAGATTTTTCCCGTGGCCCAGAGGGAGCGTGGTTTTGCATGCTGACTGCATCCTACGGATGGGGCATCTCTTATTTGCACGGCCCGGTTTCTGGCATGCCGTGGCCCCGTGCCGGTCCATGGACCTAGGGCTGGGGACCAGTGGTGGGATTCCAAATGTCTTCCTACCGGTTCTATGAAAGCATGCTTTGCGCGCGCACGTAACAATCAAAAACCACCCTCTGTCGGCACTGGTAGGCTGAGCTGCTGTTTAGCTCAGCTGAGGCACAGTAATCCGCTCTGCCACTAAAAAACAAGAGAATATAGGACGGGATAGGGTGGGATTGATTTTTTTTTTTTTACTACTGGTACTGTGGGCATGGCTTGGTGGGCATGGCAGGGGGAGGATATCGTAAAATCTCCAGTCAGAGGTGGTATTTGCCGATTCTCTGAACTACTCAACATTTCCACTACCGGTTCTCCAGAACTGGTCAGAACCTGCTGAATTCACCACCTCTGCTGTTGAGCCTGCATGGATTGCTTTTATTTTGCTTTTTCCCCAATTGATATATGTGGTTGCATGCCAGTGGTGGGATTAAAAAAAAATGTACTACTGGTTCTGTGGGCAAAGTTTGGTGGGTGTGGTGTGGCTTGGTGTGCGTGGTTTGGTAGGTGTGGCAGGGGAAGGATACCGTAGTATCCCATTCCCACCCCACTCCTGGGGGAAGGTTACTGCAAAATCCCCCTTCCCTCCCCACCCCACTAACCTGCTTTCCAGCTCCGTACTCCTAGGCAGGGCAACCAAAGAAGACCCAGAAGATCACCTGGGACTCAATGGGAGGCAGAGAAGAGATGCGGTTGGTGGGGCCAGTCGGAAGTGGGATTTGCCGGTTCTCCGAACTACTCAAAATTTCCGCAACCGGTGCGCTAGAACCGGTTTGAACCGACTGAATACCACCTCTGTTGGGGACCTCTGTCATAGAGAACCTGACACCTTACCTGGTGGAATCAGTTTGTAATTCTGCATAGAAAAAGGCAATGGAGACGGGTTACACAAAGAACACAGGTTTAAAATCATAGGTGTGCTTTCCAACTCTTTCAGGTAAGACCGTGTTTAGAGGCAGCTGATCTCTGACTCACAATTGCAATTGCTGCGAGAGGCTGGCTACCTTCATCTTGGAATATCTGATGCAAGCATTCCAGTTGATACAGGGGTGAATTCAGTCCGCCTGTAGCTGGACCGGCAAGGCTGTGATTGTAGTCCTGCCATCGGTCTATTCTCACTACAGATTAGCCAACTGTAATTGGGCTTCACTCTTGTAAACCACTTAGGGAGAACGTTTTTAAAAAACGGATTTAAGTTGGTGCAAATAATGTACCGTGTAACCGTATGATTGAAACGCCCTCTGTAGTTTAGTTCTTCATTTGGGCTACACAAGTTCACAGCAGGCAGTTACACAGCTCAAAGCGTGGGAATCCCTGTAATAGAGAGATTGAAAATTGATAGGATAGGATAGAAAATAGAATAGAAAATAGAATAGAATATAGAATAGAATATAGAAAATAGAACTGAGTATAGAAAATAAAATATAATTAATAAAATAGAATAGAATAGGAATAAAATGAATAGAGTAGAATATGGAGAATGGGATAGAATAGAATAAGAATAGAATGCAGAATAAAATAGAATAGAAAATAGAATAGAATTAATTAAATAGAATAGGGTAGGGTAGAATAGACTATAAATAAAAAGAATAGAATAGAGTAGAATATGAATATGAATGGAATAAGAATAGAATGCAAAATAATAGAATGCAGAATAGAATATAGAGTAGAAAATAGATTATAGAATAGAAAATAGAACAGAAAATAGAATAGAAAATATAGAATTAGTAAAATAGAATAGAATAGGGTAGGATAGAATAGGAATAAAAAGAATAGAATAGAGTAACATAGAATATGAATTAGGAATAGAATATAATACAGAGAAGGGAATAAGAATAGAATAGAATAGAATGAGAATGGAATGGAATAGAATAGAATATTGGAATGAAGAATAGAACAGAAATAGAATAGAATAGAAAAGAATATTGGAATGAA